TTACAACAATAATATTGTCAGTAAAAGTGCCGTTTGTGTGTGAAAAAGGGAAAATATTCACTTTTACTGAAAATATCGCTGTAATACAATTTATCATTTTGACACACTAATATTTGTGTCCCGCAAAGTCTCCCGAGTAAAACAGTACACCCAATGTACAGGTTTTATGGTGTCTTGGAAAGTTATAGAGTTAAATATAGTGCTTGCGAATTAAATTCTCAGCACTTTCTGCCTGGGTTGTCAGACACGACAATCAAATTTTAATTAATTTCCACAATTATGTTATGGGAGGGGGCTATGGCATTCCCTGGTGGTCCAGTGGCATGAGCTGTGCAGTGGGTGGGGGCGGTAGCAAGCTGTTACTTACCTTTGACGCAGCTCCGTTCATCTCCTAGTGTAAATCTTGCGAGACTCGCGACCGTCAAAGCGTTGCCACGGGTTACCATGGCAACGCTCTGCCCGGCACGCAGAACGCAAGATTTACACTGGGAGATGAACGGAGCTGCTGCAAAAGCCCCCCCCACACTGGGAATGCCATAGCCCCCCTCCCTGGCCATGTAACAAGCAGGGAGGGGGGACAAAAAAATAAATTAACCAATTAAATATTAAAATAATAAAACAATAAAAATATAAAAAAAATAATAAAAATGCCCCCCCCCCCACCCAGTTTACATACACTACACAAACAAACACTACTTACCTGGTGTCCATCAGGCTACTGCCTCCACAACTCACCTCAGCCAATAAGCTATCCCAATGCTGAATTTGCTTTGTCACAGTTACCTATATAGTAATTTACACGTTGTACAGTGTTGCAGAATGTGTTGTGACATTTACATCTAAATAAAAATGTTATTTTCTGCCGACCAGAAGAGGATTTTAAGATTAGCCCCGGGAAGGTAATTTAAGACTCCTATGTTTAAATATCTTCAGCATTCAGCCTGTGGTGGTGCCATTAATTGTAAAAAAAAGAAATAAAAAAATAGGCTTGTATTTGAAATGGCTATGATTGGGCTACACTTCTTATTATTAGAAACATAAGGGGAGTCTAATTTGCTTTAACCCCTTAAGGACACGACATGTGTGACATGTCATGATTCCCTTTTACTCCAGAAGTTTGGTCCTTAAGGGGTTAAGGTTAGTCTTGTCTAGGGGGTTTGTGTATTGTTGTCTGTACAGCTAAATCAGATTCTCCACCCTGGTTCAAGCTCGGTTATAAGAGATCTTGAATCTGCTATTTACGATGACTAAGCAAGTTTAAACTATTTAAAGAAGGTAGATATTTTACACAATGATATCTCAATAAAATAATCTGTGTGCAGAAACATATTTACAATAGTGTTAACGTTTCATGCATGACAAATTACATTGGAGCATGCACTATGGACTACAAAATACATTTGTTGTTTTATTTTATTTGTCGTTTTGCTGTTTATTAAAGGACCACTATAGTGCCAGGAAAACATACTCGTTTTCCTGGCACTATAGTGCCCTGAGGGTGCCCCCACCCTCAGGGTCCCCCTCCCGCCCGGCTCTGGAAGGGAGAAAGGGGTAAAAACTTACCTTTTTCCAGCGCTGGGCGGAGAGCTCTCCTCCTCCTCTCCGCCTCCGTTACGCCCCGCCGGCTGAATGCGCACGCGCGGCAAGAGCTGCGCGCGCATTCAGCCGGTCTCATAGGAAAGCATTTACAATGCTTTCCTATGGACGCTGGCGTGCTCTCACTGTGAAAATCACAGTGAGAAGCACGCAAGCGCCTCTAGTGGCTATCAATGAGACAGCCACTAGAGGATTAGGGGGAAGGCTTAACCCATTCATAAACATAGCAGTTTCTCTGAAACTGCTATGTTTATAAAAAAATGGGTTAACCCCAGAAGGACCTGGCACCCAGACCACTTCATTAAGCTGAAGTGGTCTGGGTGCCTAGAGTGGTCCTTTAAGACCAGTATTTTTTTTTTTTTTTTTTTTAAACAGTAGTTTACAGAAACCATGGTTGAACCAAAACCAAACTTGCAAACCCCTATCTACTTAGACTGCTAATACAAGTATTTACAAACAGAATTTGAAGCTGTAGATATGAGTTTAATTACGAGAACAAGAAATTGCACATTTTGACCAAAATTACTGTGTAAAATTTTCCAGCCATGCTCAAATTTTAAATTCCGTTATCAATTATCCACAATTACTACTCCTTTAGTAAATCTTCAAAATAAGACATGTCTAATTTTTAAAATTTGTTCTGCATGGGTTTTCTTGGTTTTTATATACAGCATTGATTTTCATAATAAGAGTTACTTTCTAGAAAATATTTTTAGAGTTAACAAAATCCAAATACTTGGTAATTAACAAGCAAAGCAAATTGCTAATTTTACTCACAAATAGCACAATTTCAGGGGGTTGACGGGAGGATGAATCTGACTGTTTGTTTTACAGCTTAGCTGTATTGAGCCTAAACTATGCATATTCTCCACAATTCCTAGTTTAATTAATAACCTAATTTGCATATATTTATAAAACGCACACAATTTAAATATATCTACAAAACAAGAAGAATGTATATTGGACGAATATGTGGGAATAAACAGTAGTCAAGAGTAGTTAGTATAACCGTATTTTTCAATGGTTTCAAAACTGAATTTGGTCCTCAATACCTCTGTATCCACTCTTCCCTCATCCCCATTGCTGCAGTATCAAGGTTTCCTCGGGGGCTGGTGATAGGCTGAGAGCTTTTATCCTATCACTTGTCACCCATTGAGAAATAAAAATGTTACTTTCCATTTCTCTCAATGGTGGTGGTGGGGATTTGTGGCTTTGGTTTAGAATTCACTGTAAAATTCAACATACAAATTTGTCTATACTGTGACTATAGCATAGCTGGATCATATTCTGAAATCCGCCATTTTGTCCTAAATTCAGCAATTTGCTTTTTAGTTTTATTTTGTATTGGGAAAAAGAGCTACCATATTTTAGTGGCCCCACCACCCAGGTGGCTTTAATCTAGTCCTATTCGTCATTATTTTTTAAGGTCACACATAACATGCTACAATTAAATGAGAACTTGTTACGGAGCTCCCTGTACCCCGACTGGGTACCTCTGCTAGAGGGGTTCCTTCCTAGCTGTACCAGGCGAAATGGATGGGGAACTAGCTCTTAGTCCTGACCATTTTCCAGTTTACCTAAATCATTTGGCTTATCAACCCTGTTACATCAACCCTGTTACATATCTTAATATCATTAGCAAAAAGCCATACCTTACCATCAAAACCTTCTGCAATATTACTAATAAAAACATTAAAGAGAATGTCTCCAAGTACAGTTCCCTGAGGTACCCCACTGGTGACAAGCCCATGCTTCAAATATACTCCATTGACTACAACCCTCTATTGTCTGTCACTTAGCCACTGCCTAACCCATATAACCATATAATATATTCTGTGTGTGACAGTGTCAAAAGCCTTACTGAAATCTAAGTAAGCAATGTCTACTGCACCACCCTGATCTATTATTTTAGTTACCCAATCCAAAAAATCAATAAGATGAAGTAAACCCATGTTGTCTCTGATCTTGAAATCCCTGTGATTTTAGATGTCCAACAATCTTCTCCTTTAACAATGTTTCCATTACTTTCCCTGCTACTGCGGTAAGGCTTAGTGGCCTATAGTTGCCCGACTCCTACCTACTACCTTTCTTGTGAATGCGCACAACATTCACTAACTTCCAATCTTCTGGGACTACTCCTGTTAACAATGATTGGTTAAATAAATCAGTTAATGATTTTGCTACTACTCCACTGAGCTATTTTAATAACTTTGGGTGTATTCCATCAGGCCCCATCAACTTATTTGTCTTTACATTTACATAGTTACATAGCTGAAAAGAGACTTGCGTCCAATACTTGGCCTCATTAATATGCTGTATTTGTTGCATGCTCAAATCTTTAAAGTTTTTGCATAAAATGAATAAGTTGTGGTGATCTGGGGTTAATTTTAGTAAAAGACGGAAATATTCCATCATGCGTCCTTAAGGGTAGGACTGCAATGATGGAAAATTCCTGTCTTGTTTTGCGCAGGGGTTAAGCTGTAGCTCTGGTGACTATAGTGTCCCTTTAGTTATTTGTGCAAAAACTATAAAGATTTGAGCATGCAAAAATACAGTTTACTAATGAGGCCAAAATCCATCAAATGCATTAAAGTTGTATTGGTGCAAAAGAATGTCTTTTACGTTTTCCCTTCTCTTTGCTGCTATTTTCTCCCCTCCATGATTCTACTAGTGGTTTCACCTGCGAACAGCTGACCCCACTATTGTACTCTTGCACATGTACATTAAGATGTCACAAGCAACTTTTGAACATCTCACAAGATGGTGCCTAGTTGCACAAGCAGACGCAGCCAGCGGCTGATGGGAAGTGACAGGATGTGGTGGTGAAAGCTCTTCCAATTGGCAAATCTCAACACAACTTTTTATTGCGCTGGAATTGCAACAAAACCGTAAAAAATAGCTTTTCCTAAAAATTCTATCTGCTCTAAACATAGGCCATACACCATGTGTTTTAATCAAAGTTCTAGTCTGACAGCCTGGCTTGTCTGCCTCTAGCGTCTAGTCAAAAACTATTTAACGTGTGTCCCACACTGCATTGCACCCTGTATCAAATTCCTGGCTTCCCTTTATATTGTAAGTGTGTTCTATAATATTTATAGATATTCATCAACTCGTGTACCTGTCCGCCAAACTTCTCCTATTTCAGGAACCTGTTATACATAGATGTGGATATGTTTTGGTATTTTGTCAAAAAAGTAAAAAAAATAAAAAATATATAGTATTAATAACAATCTTTGTTATTCACTCTCTCCAGGAATAAAATGATATATTGGAACATTCTACATTTGCCAGTAACGTTCTATTGCTGTTTCAATGTTTTACTCCCCACACAGCTTGTCCCCCAATGCACCCACTAACTTCTTCCTCATTCACTGCCCCATTCATTCCCCAATCCATCTTTCTTTCATTGTTTTATGTCTTTCTTCTACCCCACTTTACTATTCCGCACCTATTCTCTTATCTCACTATTCCCCATTCACTTATTCTAACAGTCTCATTGCTCGTTTCCCATTCTCTTCATTCACCAACTCTACATCTGGGTTAATATCATTCTATCTGCAGTATGTTTACTTCACATTCACTGTAGCTGGCTCCCTCTTCGCCCCCTGCACTCCTCGCCCCTCTATCATTCATTGTCACCAGGACCCTCCCCATTTAGATCCTCTGTCTGTCCCTCCCCTGGCTGTCACTCAAAGCCCCCTCCCCCCCCTCTCCTTTTACAGACATTCCCTCTTCATCTTTCTGCCCTCCTGTCCTGGCTCCATAGTGCCCTCCTTCCTTTTACAGTTAAAATCCCTGCCCTCTGCCTGTCACTCAGTACCCACCTCTAGTGCCCTCTCTAGTACCTACCCTCTCCGTCACCCAGTAACCACCCTCTCTCTGTCTCTCTGTAGTGCCTACCCTCTCCCTGTCACTCAGTACCCACCTCCTCCCTGTCACTCAGTACCCACCTCTCTAGTGCCCTCTCTGTCTCTCTCTAGTACCCACCTCCTCCCAGTCACCCAGTACCCACCTCCTCCCTGTCACTCAGTACCCACCTCTCTAGTGCCCTCTCTGTCTCTCTCTAGTACCCACCTCCTCCCAGTCACCCAGTACCCACCTCTTCCCTGTCACTCCGTATCCACCCGCTCCCAGTCAGTACCTCCCCTCTGTGAATCCTTTTATAGCTCCCTCCCAGCTGCCCACATCTGTGCCTTGCTTCTGTCTGCTCCAGCTGCCCGGACTCCACGCTCATTACCTGCACACTCCTTCCTAATCCCCGGCATCAGCCTTCTCCATGGCGGATTATCACAAACCCGACCAGCAGACTCTGCAGGGCCTGAAAGACACGGCGAACCGTCTGCGGATACTGTCCATCAGGGCGACCACCGCTGCGGGCTCCGGGTGAGTGACCCAGCTTTATATAGGTGTGAAATGGAGCGAACCACCTGCAGGTTACCCCCGGGGGGAGATGCGGGCTGCACTGTGTTCCAAGCACATGGCACTCATTCTCCTGTACTGTGTGCTGGGGAAGGAGACTACAGGTAACTTTTTTTTTACCAGAGTCACCCCCCTCAGAGCCACACTCACAGGTATCACTCAGTTTTTACCTCTGTTGTGCCATTGGGGTGAAAATTGAAAGTGTAGCAATAATCTCATTTTATATGTGGAATGATTAGTTTCCAGTATGTAAAATACCTTTAACATAATGCTTTAAAAATAATAATAATAATACATTAAATTCATACATTTTTTAATGTTCCCAGTGGTAAATGAGTTTAGATAGTAGTTCCAATAGACATGTTTTAAAACTGTATTTAGTTTAAAAGCTGACAGAGCATCATGGGAAATATAGTTCACAAGCCTCTAAATGCAGATCTCGTCACTTCCTGGTTTAATCGTGTTATTTATTTAATAAAATCATATTCCTTAGAGCTGTGCAAGGAGATTTACTACACTTTACTAGTCAGTAAATTTAGATGAAATGTATGTATTTATTATGCACTGCTACACTCAAGCTCTGGACATTTCATGGAATCAAAATAAACTAGAATTATGCTAATGTTCTACAAAGAACAGCAGACTGGCTACTGGTCCTGATGTGATGTCTGTATCTTAACTCTTGCATGACAAGTGATCAGGCATTCGGAGGATGAATTAGTGTTAAGAATTCAGTGACCTTCAAAGAGACTTTCAAAATTTTGGTCAAAGTAGCTGAATTTAAATTTTTTTTAAATTTGTTTTTGTTTTTACAACAGTGTTTTTAGTTTGGCTACTGTGGCCTAAAATGTTAAATTTGCTTAGAGTTCTTCACGTTTCATATTTACCGAATAACCCCTTTACCCAAAGATTTGCCTGTAAAACAGACTATATTATGCTCACAAATGGAGGGAGGATAACTTTATTAAAATCAACACCCCTATTTATAATAGACATAAGCTAGCACTGCTGTATTTTGGAATGTTTAGCTTTTTGTTTATCACTTCATTCCGGGCTGCATAAAGTCCTTACGAAAGCATATTTGTAGCTAAAATAAAGGTGGAAACAATGCAGTTTCCTAATATTAATATTGACTGTTATTTTAGCAAATTGTGATGAAGTTTGCCACTTTTGCATTCAGCTGCCAGGGCGCTTTATTGGGCGCTCTCCAAAACATTGCACACACCTTCTGTAATAGTTGGAGAACTGAACAAGAGACGCCTTTAGCTAGCATTATCCAAAATGCCACACTGCCAACACCGTGCCAAGGCAGCTAAACACAAAACGTGAGAATTGCAGTGAAATGGAAACCGAATTGCAAAATTTAAGCTACATTATCTATATGGAGCACAACTCCTACTTTTCTGTACACTGCAAATATATATATATATATTTTTTTATATACCCTAAAAAAAAAAATGAATGTATATTTAAAAAAAAATAGCTTGCAAAGGCTACAGACCTGCTGTATTTCAGTCTGTGTCAGGGAATACTCCAATCCGAAGGTTCTCATTGAGAATGCTAATGTGTATGTATGAATAAGGTATGTCTGTACTACTTTGTGAGCTGTAAAACCGCTCATTGAGAAGGGAGAAAGCCAGGCGTCCGCTACCCCAGTCTCCTGTCTCTTCTGTTAGCTCTGTGGCGCTAATGGAAGTGAAAAAGAAAAAATCACACTGTGTGTGTTTCCTAAGTATAAAAGTTCTGCTTTCTATAGCAATCAGCACATTTAGAGACAGTCACAAATCTGGCAGACTCCAGACACACAATGTGTGTTCGCGAGTTGTTACTTACTTTAGCAGTTTACCTATTATTTAGTCTATTTAGTTTATTAACTAATACCGAACTACAGTGATTTAAAAAAAAAAAAAATTTAAGTCGGATAGATTAAAAATAAATAAAATAATCAGGATATGGTTATAGAAAAACAATTATTAAATTAATTATTCTCTTCTGAAAATTATTCAAATCAGGGAGTGTGAGATTTATTCATAAAAATAGAATTGACAAATGAATAGCTCAGTTGGAAAAACAGCTACATTTAAGATGATTTATTTTTCAGGTCGCTACATTCCCAGTGTAATGAGTAAATTCCAAAGTGATGCATAGTATTGTTCATTTTGTCTTTGTTCATGATGACTTGCAGGATTGTTCTGGATTTTCTAAAACACACATAATGCAGGGGTTAATACATAGCATTGTATGTTAATACATTCCCAAGTTGCTAACCATAGTAATGCCAGAAGTTTTGACATCTTCATTGGCCAATTTAAAAAACTTGTACAGCAGGAAACCTAATTTTATATTACATTTCACAATGCTGGGGGAAAAAACATTATACTGCATGTAAAAATGATTGTTCTTTCCTGGTAAAGGAGTGTCAGATAAGGTGCAGTTGTAGGAGTGAAGCATGTATTATAAATTAAGAATATATTGCCAGTGTGTAATTCGTTTCCTTTAGGTCCCTCTATTTTCATTTTAAACGGTTATTAAACAGTATCTGAAATTCTCCCTCTTTAGACGTGGCGCTACATCCTTTTCCTGTCTCCTTCCCAATAAAATGCCTCTCGTAACGGATCATTGATTGGGCATGGACGCATGCACATCGAAGAAGGAAGTGAGGCAGGGAACTAAACAAACGGGTGGAGGGGGTGGATGGATAAGAGGAGGGAATCTCACAGAGTCAGGGTGTTAGAAATATTATAAAGAATGAGGCTTGGAAGGGGAGGGAGGTAATATTTTAATAAACAAAGTGTCACTGGTGGAGGCAGGCAGGGCTAGTCAAGGCAGAACCAGGTGACTGTGTGCATGCGAGTCACGCACACACAGTTCACTTGCAAGTGAAGAATCATGTTATCTGTTGCTGGTTTGCAGTGTGCGCTGACAACAGGCGTAATTTTTGCACAGAATTGACATTTGATAGTCTGGAACGGAGTCCCGGGCTGCCAAAGTCACAAGTACCGAGTATGCCACTAGCCCCTGTGTTCTTTAAAAAAAAACTACTCCGTCACCTCTGGTGATACGGCTGCACCAGAAGTGAGCTGTATGTTGGTTCATCTCTGTAGGGCGCGTGCACCCCACATGGGGGTATGGGACTCTCTCAGTGTGCCATTTGCATGTGCAGCACGAGCTGTGGAGGAGGAACGCTGTAAATGCGTGCGCAGGGCACAAGTATTTATGACATTGAACAGCGCATGCGCAGTGTTAGCATAGGAAATGCTCATGGTAGTAGTACACATGCACCTGAATCGACTGTGTGGTATGCCTACAGGGTAGGTTATTTTTATTGCTGCCACTGTGCATGTGCCGGAACAGGCCATTTTGGATTTCATGATTGGATAAACCATCACAGGCCATAAAGTGGACTTGCTTTCCATGTCATTTTTAGATTTTCTGCACACTTGACTGTTGGTTTTTTAAAAAGCAGACTTTATTTGAAGTGCATGAGTACAAACAATGTTTTGGCCCTACAACCAGTCTTTGTCAAGTGAAACTCAATGGCCAACTTGTAGCAGCTGTGTGTGCCAGGAGTACCATTTGGTTCTTGTTGCATGTACACGATTCTAGAGCCAGTGCTTTATTGAAAATCATGGGATACATGCTGATATCTAGTTGTCTTGGCGTAATCACAGGTATGAGATAGGCGAATAGTGCACGTTGTGCAGAAAGATGCCTGTGATAACTGCCATGTATGAATAAGGGCTTACTTCAGTAAGAGATCTATAGCTGTACAAGTAGTTATACTAGATATAGCTAGTCTTTGATTTATTTAAAAAGGTAAAAACTTGAAATCCCAAACAGATTCCATAGCCAGTTTATCTTTATTAAAACTAAAACTTGACCGATCTCCTTTAAGGGGTTAAAGCCTGCTAAATGGATGGAAATAAAGGCGGGTAACACATTGCAAGTCAAATAAAACAAAGAATTGAAGCTGAAATAAAAACAGAGAATAATTCTAACCTTGGGCAATATCATTTCAGCATTCTTTTAACGCTGTGTACCAAAGTCAAAATCAGTGAGCAACAGGAATTCGAGATGCCCAGTACACAAAGGCTTGCCAGATGGCCCAGGGCAACCTCCGGCCTCTCTAAATAGTCTGCCTTGCCTAAACGCATCAGTGTATCCCTCTCCAGACAGCCGAAAGATGTTCTGATCCTTCTATTCCTTCAGTATAGAGCCAAAGGTTCCACTGTGTAACAAGCAGCCCCATATTTTACAGATAGGTGAAAAGATAAAATCAAACATAAAATACAGTTTTGTTATTTTTTTTCTTATAAATGTAATGCACGGAGTTTAATAATAATAATAAGACTGCTTCCACCATAAACACTGCAGTAAGCTGTATGGGTTATCATCATGTTTAGAGTGCCCCTGTAAATAATGCATTTTATCCCATACGCAGTCAATCAGAAAGAGATGACAAGGAGCCTTCTGGATGCTTATATTTTTGGTGCCCAAGAGACTTGTAAGGTTGGTGTAAGTGTGTTCCTAAAGGTACACTGCAAACAGCATAACATCTGGCTGTAGTGGCTATGGTACCAGGAGTCCCCCTAGTTGTCATACTATATAAGAAGGGTTTGACAGCTTATCTTGGCACCTGAGTCTGCACTGCCTGCCTCTAGATTTTCCTCCACTGAGCTAAGCAGAGCTGTTCTTAAAGGACCATTATAGTGCCAGGAAAACATACTCGTTTTCCTGGCACTATAGTGCCCTGAGGGTGCCCCCACCCTCAGGGACCCCCTCCCGCCGGGCTGGATGGCAAGGAAAGGGGTTAAACTTACCTTTTCTCCAGCGCTGGGCGGGGAGCTCTCCTCCCCTTCTCCACCTCCGATCCTCCTCGTCGGCTGAATGCACATGCGCGGCAGGAGCTGCACGCGCATTCAGCCGGTCTCATAGGAAAGCATTCATAATGATTTTCACAGTGAGAAGCACGCAAACGCCTCTAGCGGCTTTCAATGAGACAGCCACTAGAGGCTTTAGAAGCTGGATTAACCCATTTATAAACATAGCAGTTTCTCTGAAACTGCTATGTTTATAAAAAAAATTGGTTAATCCTAGAGGGACCTGGCACCCAGACCACTTCATTAAGCTGAAGTGGTCTGGGTGCCTAGAGTGGTCCTTTAAGGATGAGTTTAGATAAGTGGCAGTGTCCCTCAGATGGCTGCTGGAGGTGCTTCTTGGCTCAGTGCTGCACAGTAGGCAGCTCTGCCATTCAGCGTCTCCACACTCTGCATGGAGACGCAGAATTTTCCTCATAGCGATGCATTGATTCAACAGTGTTTGGCCTCGTCCTCTTGCCGATTGTATCCAGTCCAATGCTTTACCCATTGGAAAGCATTAGATTGGCTAAAAATCGGCAATTCTGATTATGTCACCAAGGGGGTAGAGCCAGCGCTGGCGTACCTGCGGGGCGCTGGAAGTAAGGTGAGTTTTAATTCCTTTTAAGGGGGTGGGGGGACGGACGGGGCAAGCCATCTAAATGGTGGCTTGGTTTTCCCTATAGGGTCAGGAATACATGTTTGTGTTCCTGACCCTATAGTGTTCCTTTAAATACTACCCTTCAAGATGGTGAAGTGATTTGCCCTGGAAACACAAGCACTCAGTGATGTCCTTCAGCTTCAGATACTTTTGGCCTTGGGTGCCCTGTTTATGTGAGAATGAGACTTCGCTATCTCCACTTCTCTTTTTTTCATGTCTTATGTATGTCTTATAGTTATTATTTTAGTATATCGAAAAGTAATAGCTATTATTTACCTTCATTTATATTGCCTTTTTCTTTTTAGTTGTATTTTAATATTTAGTATGTTCGCATAAAACTGTCAACAGGGAGTCACCATGGTTTTTCGAAAACTTCTGTATGTCTTACCTATAATTTGTGTTCATCTTACTTTTGAAATTAGGTATAAACTAAAATAATATTGTGGAAATAACTAGGAATCTTAAAACATAAATGAAAAAAATATCAGTTTACTATCTGAATCATCCTTCCTAAAAGTAATTTGCATGTGTAGTCATTACACAAGGTATTTTTCTCAATAAATTGTGAAAGGTTGCTAATTTAAAGTAATATTTTAGGGGAAAATAAATGAAAAACCATTGACTTGGAGAATGTTTCCAAGCGGCCTAAAATGTGATATTCAGTTTGAATTCTTGACCATTCACACTTTGGTGAATTGCTCATTGGGACTAAATTGAGAAATCAAAGTGAATTTCAAATATTATGCCAGAGCCGCAGAATTAGAAGCTTAGCCATTTTGGCTATGTTTACCTTAAATCTGATATTTAATTTGAATTCTCCCTTCAGTGAATATCTCTTTTACTCAGTAAAGACCAAACTGTAGTAGATTGAAAACAGATTTAAAAAAAATAATGATACAAATTCAATACCATGATGCTTGTGACTATAGAGAATTATTCCTAATCTAGGCTATTTTGCTAATATTTTTAAATTAATTGTTTTGCCTATTGTACAGCGCTGTGAATCATGTTGGTGCTATATAAATAATTAGAATTTAGTGTTTAGTGAATACGTTCATGTCCTGTGCCTGTGTATATCTATCTTGCAATGTTGACTGCTTTCAAGGACAATTTACTGAATTTATTTAGGAGCGGACATTCACACACGGCTTTAATTTAGTTTAAAATTCCCCAAACAATATTTATTCTAGACTCCTGTATCCCCATACACTTTTTGTGACTTGATATTGACACTACCTGTAATGTCAGTCTAACATTTTATTATTGACCAGAAAGTGCATCTGGATTTTAAAGGAAGTCAGTGTGTCTGAAACCTTAAGTAATTCTTTCAAAAGAGACAAAGTAACAATGCAATAAACCACAACCCATGGAAATATCTATTAGGGAAGCAGATTGGCAGATTACAATTAGATCTCACATGCCATGGGATGGAGTCGTTATAATATGTGCAATTGTGGGGGAAGTGAGCAGAAGGAAATAGCCATTTGTACAAATACATGCTAATATTTAGACAATATTTATGTGAACATGCTGAAATGTTGTATAGATACTTTTCTACTAAAAACCTCAGCTACTGCATTTTGCTGCAAGATTCACCACGGACCCCTTTAAAGAGGAGCACCACGAAAAGTGTTGCCCTTCAATATGTATGATTTATCTGGTGCAGTAATGAGAAAAATTTAGTTATAGAGAAGGTCCCCAGAAAGAGACTTGCTTCTTAAAGGACCACTATAGTGCCAGAAAAACAAACTCGGGTTTTTAGGACCCCCCCCACCCTCAGGGTCCCTCTCTCGCTGGGCTGAAGGGGGAGGAAGGGGTTAAACGCTTACCTTTCTTCGGCGCTGGGGAACTCTCCTCCCTCTTCTGACAGCGCTGAATGCGCATGCGCGGCAAGAGCCACACACGCATTCAGCCAGTCCGTAGGAAAGCATTTCTTAATGCTTTTCTATGGACATCAGCGTCTTCTCACTGTGATTTTCAAAGTGAGAAGCGTGGAACCGCCTCTAGCGGCTGTCAGTGAGACAGCCACTAGAGGCTGGATTAACCCTATTGTAAACATAGCAGTTTCTCTGAACCTGCTATGTTTACAGCTGCAGGGTTAACCCTAGATGGACCTGGCACCCAGACCACTTCATTGAGCTGAAGTGGTCTGGGTGCCTATAGTGGTCCTTTAATGCTTTTCCTTCCTGGAACACACACCTTCTGTTTACTAGCGCACTGTGGTTTACTGCCTTGTTTCTCAACCAGTGGTACGCATACCACAGGAGGTGTGAATACTAAAGGAAAGCAATACGCCAAGAGCTGGCCAGCTTAGCGCACCGCAGGAGACAGCTGGCTGTGTATTAAGGCAGAGTTGGGACCTGCAACTAAGGACGGCAGGTGCCTGCTCTGCCCAAATACAGTGTCCACTGTATCTTCTGTGTTCAGTGTACAATGATCTTACAGCATTGCTCCCTCGCGTGCCCTGCATTGATGGTGGCAGTCGGGTTATGACATCACTCCGGCTCCAGCGTCACTAAACAGCGTGCAAGGGAGCAGTGTTTGGAAGAGCATGGAGATTACAAAAGCCCCCCTTTGGACCCCGGGAAAGGATCCACTCCAACTCTCCCAAAGGTAGGGAGGCTGGGTAGACTTAAATTAAAAATAATAGAAAAAAAAATATTTGTGTGTGCGTGTCTGTCGATTATTTTCATACACAATATTCACATATTTATTTAAAAAATATTCTTTATTACCTTTAATCAGGCTTGAGCTCCTCATCAGAATGACGGTATTGTGTATCCAGCTATATAGTACATCTTGGAAATGAACTTGAAATGTTTCATTCGATAGAGGTGTAATGTATATATACTGTATACAAATTAGCAATTTCCTAGCTCATTAAAAGTTATCCTAAAACTGTATTGTAGGGGGTATTGTCTCTTTAATAAGGCCCCCACTCCCCTTTTGTTTCTGCAAGATTTGATGAATAAGGTTTTTTCCCTCCTTTTTTCATGCCCAGTGGGTAGACTGGCTTCTAAATAAACATTCTTTTTGTGTCTTGTTGAAAACATGCTATTCACCCTGAGTCTGCATTTATGTGATTACAAGCAGTTTGGAATAATTTGTCCTCTGTGAAGGAAATGAACTGTTCTGATAATCAGCTAGAATATTTCCACTGATATCCCATTTCTGAAGAACTTTCTTCATGTTATGAAACATTCAATGTCCGCACTGAAACATTGTGTTGCCATATACACTATGTTTTTCTAAATACACACAACTTCCTTATGTTTGTGGTCTGCATGTATAAACTGTCACTTCAAAATTATTTTAATATAATAATCCTTTAAGTATTGAAAGGAAATAGAATTTTTAAAATGAAGTCTATGTAAATAAAACAAAAAGACTCTAGTTATTCTGTGTGGTCTTCCTTGTCTCTGTGCATGGAGTTTAGCGAGGGAGACCACAATGACTGTTTGTTGTTTTTTTCTAACACGCTGCGACCCAAGGTATATGTACAGTAAGTATATGACTGGAGGATGCTCATATACTAAAGGTACGATGAGTTTTCCACATTTTTTTTTTTTTTTTGTTACATATACCTCATTCACTCAAATCTATTTCTTTCAATGCTTGATGAAAGAATCATTATATTAAAACATATATCGAGGTGACACTTGTTATTTAAAGGGTTACTCCATGTACTGGGATCACTGCAGGGATTTGAGGTGGTCATGGTACCTCAAGGCTGTATATGCAGAGTAACACTTTAAAACAAACGTTTGCCCCATTATGGGAAACTGCGCCATCATAACCACTAAAGCTATAGCGGGCTGTAGTGATTGTAATGGTTGAAGTAGCCATTTTTTCTTCCTGTAACATATGAATTATACAAACTGCAGGTAGCAACTTTTAATTTGATTAACTAGCTGGCACTTGCTGCAATTGAGTGGGTATAATTTAATTTAGGGATGCATACAGGTAATGGTACAATGGGCTATTGCATTAAAACCAATGCATCCATGCAGCTTGCAAGTTATCTAACAATTCCCAATGAAATAATCCGTATTGTCAAACTATACCTGAAGATTTCAGTAGTCTATATGGTTTTTATGTTTTTTAAATGTGTTCACTGTTTCAGATTGGTTACATTCATAAAGTGACATGACTATGCGTATGGTGACATTTGGAGCATTAGAAATGGTAATCGGCATTTTGAGTGCTGTGACTAATCATTGTTTGAATTCTGCTAACAAAAGTAACTGTTTGCAGTGCAAGGTTTGGAATTGACTTAATCTCTGTACTGTAAGGATGAGTAATCATTTTTAAATAAGGACATTAATTACTTTCAGCATGAATTGAATTGTATATTCTAGTCTTAACTTGAAGCATGAAGGCTATCAGAACATATGTGTAATACCTTGTATTGAATATTAATTTAACTGTATTAGTTTTGGGTCCAGAGCAAATCAAGGTGTGTGTATAGTTAAACACGTATTTATAGCAGGTGTGTCCAAGTATAGTCTGTGAGCTATTCTTGAAATACATTTACCAAAATTCTCTGCCACCTAACTCACTTGTGGTATAAAAGGATCATATACACATAAAGCTAAAGCGTACATTTGTTGACGTGCTATTTAATCTTTATTCCTTATATTTTGTATTCTAAGCAAAACTCGAAAATAAATTCAGGATTGTTCACAAAAGTATGACAGGGATTCATAGTGCATTTCAAACTTGAGGGCATGTTATTTGAACTAAAAACACAGATGATTTGGTCTATTGTTTTTCCAGATCAGTTTTTACAGGCGAAAATGTTAAATTCACTTTGAAGTACATTCACAAAACGTTCATATATTATTACTTTTTTAACCTCTTAGGCATCCAACATCATGCTGCAGTGCGGCCGAAATTATGTCGGTGCTGTTTTTTCATTCCATGAAGTATAAAGCCCAAGATCCAAAAAACCCAAGCAATGACCGTTTTGTGATGTCTAAGGTATGTTGCGATGGCGAGCTGTTTAATATCAATTTCCTATAATGCCTTCTGTGTGCCAATGACCTCTCTCTTTTCTTGCCCAAACAAGAACTGTGTGCCCACACTGTAGATTGCATAGACCTAGACTCTCACCAACAATCCAATAAAAATATAGCTTTCTGACTTCAGCTTGCTAGATGTCCTCACACACTGACTTCCTGCCACAGAAGGACTAACCCCTTCTTGCTGTTTTGATATTGCAGAATTTATATCGTGTTATCAGAGTCAATTTTGTCCAAAGTTAATTCCTCATTATCAATGCACCCAAGATGGAGGCAGTCCCTCAACATCAGGATGGATCCCGATTTATATTAGAGCATTCATAAAGTGATTTGATATTAAAGCAGGGGATGATCGCTGGGGATTCTAAGCACCTTGTTGTACTGATTAGGTTTCTTTGAGTATTTTTCAAGTATGCATTACACACTGGTTAGTTAAAGACATAGTCAAAAAATTACAGTTATAAAAATATTTACCTAATGGAGTTCGCTTGTTAAAGGGTTACTCCATCCACCTTGACCACTTCTACTTTTTGAAGTGGTCAGGGTATTAGGAGTCTGAATGTGCACTATTTCTTGCAACGTGAAATTGCAGTTCCGGTACACATGACTTGGGCAGCCTAGAACACTGTGCCCTGAGCCAGTGAAATGGTCCAATCAAAGGCTTCTCTATGAGACCTCTATGCGGCTCCTGTGAGGTCTGATGGGGTTGCGCTGAGCAGCGCTGCAGAGCTTGACCCAGCATTGGATTAAGGTGAGTACAATTCAGTTTAAAACACTCTTTAAGATTTTTGGGAGGTAGGGGGAGGAGCATATAGAATAATGCCAAATGGGCCATTATTCTACTGCCCATGTAAAAGGGTTGGAGAAAACCTTTAACATGTTGGATTCTACTCTAAAAAAATATAATCCATGTTTTAAAATTACCAAATGGCACTTAAACGCTTACTCCAAGCACATGACCATTTCATTGATTTGCAGTGGAGTCTGTATGTGCAGCACTTCTCTTTGCTCATATAGAAATTAACACCTCTGCTCCTCTTCTGGCAGCATTATAGGAGTACCATAAGCTGGTTCCTAATATAGCCCTGTTGGGGCCTATGACCAGGGGCGCCTGCCCACAGTCATCTATACATGTAGAACCGATCCTCTTGGTGTTTGATCAGATCTGTGTGACCTTCTGGGCAAAGATTTGTGCACATGGACTTACCTCCACATCTGCTGACCTAGTTGAGGCTCCGCGGATCCATCCTGCATTGCGACAACACCTGCATAGGTATCCCCCACGCGTTCCCAGAGAGGCAATGCGGAGGAAAAGACGCAAATGGCCATTGTGGCGAACGGCAGTGCCACAACACTCAGGCCCTTGTGTCCGCTACTTCTCACTCTGTATCCAGGCACGTTCACTCTCCACATGGCCCACCTGCTACACAGGCCTTTTCCTCATGGCACCGGTAATGCAATATTCGGCGGCTGCAAGCTCTGACTGCATAGTCTGCTGAACTGCGAGTGTGCTTGCCCACAGACCTCTCTCGCTGCCAGACTTCCTCATTCATAATCTTGATGGGCATTCTGCTTTTCATGTTTAGAACAATGCTATTAAGTGTTTACCATGGTACGCTATTGATACCCTCTTAGTTAATTCATCCAGTGTTTTTTATATCTTGAACCTATACACAGTTCTGTGTTACAGCTTCTCTATCTCTTTGTTATTCTGAAATAGATTTGTGCTCCTGCTGTCTGTTCTGTATTTTTAAACGTAAAAAAAATGCAGTATTCTTGACATTCTGTTATATGCATGCACCTTTTTCTTCGCATTTATTCTCATTCGAAATGTCTACATATTCTTGCTTGTTAAGCTTTGCACTTCTAAAATAAAGGATGTTTTTTTGCATAAACAGAATATTCAAGGGTACAATTGATGTGTATGTAAACAGGTTGTTGATCCAAGGAGAAATCTGATTGTCATTATGGAGTCAAGAAGGATTTTTTTTCACTTTTTGTAGCATTATTGGAAATGGCTACAACTGGATTTTTGCCTTCTTTTGGATCAAGAGCACAAAAGAATTGGCTTTCATGGTTAAACTTGATGGACTTATTTTTTCAACCTAAACAACTATGTAATATTGCAATGTATTACTATTGTGGCATGATTGCAAAATTGAATCCTTACTGCCTGCATGAAAAACAATATTCTTAATCACAAGGCTATAGCTCATACAGTTACAAAGCTCAGCACTGTATGTCTGCTGAAATTGTGTCGAACAACATCTGTACTGGGAGTCTGCTAATAATCTCTTGTTGACACATGCTGTCAGACAATCTCAGTTCTTCGGGGACGGTTCATACCATTAATGTATGAACTTTCATTTTCTTGTTGATACATCTTGTGAGAAAGTTGACTTGTTCATACTGTCATTTCATGAACTATTGCATAAAACAGAAGTCCAAATAAATTCATAAATACATCTCACACATTTAAAGCCTAAATTATGGCAATACTAGTGCAGATTGTTCACTTTCGCTGTAATTATCGCATGGGAATACTGTTATAACTGTAGACTGGTGGAATGTAATCTGTTTGTTTTACCATATCTCTCTGTCTACAAATTTCTGTTTATGCTTTGTCTTTGCTAACACAAAAATATGATTAAACGTGGTGTGAGAAAGTTAGACTCACTATTTCTTGTATTTTTCAGGGTCACGCAGCTCCGATTCTGTATGCTGCCTGGGCAGAAGCTGGTTTTCTGCCAGAATCTGAGCTTCTAAATTTGAGGAAAATTGACTCCATCCTTGAAGGTCACCCAGTGCCTGTGAGTATCAGCTATTTAAGGTGTTACAGAATATTTTCAGTTTTGCTGTTTAAATCACACATTTAGCAGTCCTTATAGGATTATTCTGTCTGTCTATATCTGTTCCAAATTAGCTTTAACTCTCAATACACTGATCTTAGGTAAGACAATTTTGGTAACCCTCATTATTGTACCCAATATATTACTGGCTTTAAAGATAGTTTGGAATGCAGTGTGCTATATTATTGATGTATCTACTGGTCCGGCAGCTCAATAATGATGTCTGAATATCCAGGTGAGAGATGCCTTCCTGTTATATGTTATGTTAGAAGATTAACCAAATCCCCTGATATTACTCCCTTCCTGTTATAGGTACCTCATTACACGGCTTGAACAGCAGATAGTCTCAGATCATGGATATGCCATGAAGTGGTTCGATCTTATATGAGCAATAATTATGTTAGGATAGAAAAGGATCTGCCAAAAAATTGCCTCTGTGTCAGGCGTATGCAATTTATGATTTTGTAACTAGGCAAGCGTTTTATTGACTGTGTATGCTTTATAGCTAGTTTATAATGCATTTTGTGTGTATGATAATAGCACTTATTAGAACACCATGAACTTGAAATCCGATATTGCTGAGTTGTAATTTGCAAAGACACCCAGCGGTGCAATCGCCACTAGAGGGACAACCAGAAGTGAGATTTAACTTACCTGAAAATGTCCCTCGTGGGCATTGCCATCTCTTTTTGGCCGGTCTCTTCTGCTCACATGTGTGGGAGTTATACCACTGATGTCTAAGGTGGTCCCGTGATACTTCCATAGACTGAGCCAATTGCTGGGGGATTGACACTTGTAGATGACGGTAGCTCTGCCCAATGTCTAAAAGTTTCAGGTGTAAGAAAATTACTGAGACAAAGTAGTCCCCACTTTCTCTCAGTATATAACGGAGTTGGAATTTCAGTGTACAGTCCATAGGAGTATTTCATAAAGACTCCACCTGTATGAAACACTAATTTTGCAGGGGGTGGGGGAGTGACCGTGGCACTTTAAAGGGACATGATAGACATGTTCCCCTTCTTTTAACCCTAAAAGTGAAAACATTGCTGTGTGCTTAAAATGCCTCTAGTGGCTCTGAAACAGCAGAGTAAAACTGGGCTATTTCAATCGAATGGTCACATAGAGAACATCTGATTGGCACTGCATGCTCATAGCTTCCCAATGCTTTCTTAAGGGAAAGCATATGATTGGCTGAGATCATCAAGCTTGTAATGTCAACTAAGAGGCGGGCAAGCCGCAAAGAGCAGCGCAGCATGGGATAAAAGGTAAGTAAAACAACTTTTTAACCCTTGGGGGATGGCGTTCACCTTAACGATGGCTAGGACATTAAGGAGGTAGTATTCCTTGTGCTATAGTGTTTCTTAACATTTGAAATCCACTTTGAACAATTGCTTTTACACATTCTATGTTAGCTGCAATCTCTCTTTAATTTAAACTGTGTTATATATTCTCCTGATCTGTAACTTTTTTCTTTGTTTTAGAAACAAGAATTTGTAGATGTGGCCACAGGATCCTTGGGACAAGGTTTGGGTGCAGCTTGTGGCATGGCATACACAGGGAAATTCTTTGACAAAGCCAGGTAAGGTTTTGCACACTTATTTCCCCCCCAAAAAATAGCTTCAAAATTCACATGATCCAGCCTCTAGTGGCTGTCTCACTGACAGCCGCTAGAGGCGCTTCCGCGATTCTCACTGTGAAAATCACACTGAGAAGGCGCTGGACGTCCATAGGAAAGCATTGAGTAATGCTTTCCTATGGGCGGTTTGAATGTGCATGCAGCTCTTGACCCTATAGTGCCAGGAAAACGAGTTTGTTTTCCTGGCACTATAGTGCTCCTTTAATTGTAATCTACTAAAAGAAACCCGAACAAGCACGTAGCACAAATTCTGGGTTTGGTTTTGGTACAGAAGTTGAACGATTGCCTCCGTCCTTAACGATTACGGGATTATATGACTGTCTGTGTAAATCAGGAAAGATGATTACATAATTCTCTTTGCATTATTACTGGAGCTGAGTCATTGTGACTGTTTAAGTCTAGTAACCCATTCAGTATAATAAACGGTCTCTCCATTCTCTCCCAAGTCCAAACACATCTTTCCAAAGTACACAGCAAAGGGCAAATTTACAAACTATGATCTACGTTTATGGTTTCCCTAATATTGAGAGATAGATATATATATATATATATATATATATATATATATATATATATATGTTAATAACATATAAGACGACAATTTAATGTATTCGCTATTTAGTGCACTAACTGTAAAATACAGCAAATTAGCCCAAATACTTTTTGACTCATCTGATTTGGAGAAGTTTTCTGACTTTGCTATTTTACCTTTTATTTTGGATTTTATATGTCAATTCACCATTTAGCGATTAAACCCCAATATGTGCAGCTTTCTCCTCATTTCTTTTCTGTCCTACGGTTCATTATTTATTATCTGAGTGAGGCACGGATAACTGCAACAAGCTTTGTCTTAAGACATTTTAACATTTTAATGTTGATGCCTTAATGGTAGAGACTTTGGCGTATGAATTCTGTGCCCATTCTGTTTCCACTCCCTCTGTGCCCCGAATTAAACTCGGGTAGAAATGTCAGTAGCTTCAGCATTAATCCCTAAACAAAGGAATGTGTTGCTGTATCATGGGCAAGGCGTGTGTTTGCTTGTACAGTAATTTGTAATGTTAAATATTATTCCCGCCTTTACATCTCCTCAAGTGAACTTTGCTTTAACATTTTAAGATAAGAGCTGATAGGAATGCTGGGATTTGACCACAAACGACAAAGCTGTGTACATTTTCTGCAGCGTACCACAACATTGTGTTACCACAAATATTACAGTAAAAAAAGTTCTTTATTGTGCAAATGTTAGTACATACACTGGATTTAACACAGAAAAACTGCCATTTAAACTCCAAATTGGTGCTCCGTTTGGTAACAAATCTTGTTTTAATCCTGTAGTAAGGATAAGGGTAGTAAATGCCAGTCATTAACTTTGAGATGTAATAGATGCATCTGCAGCATATGTTTACCTCAGGAAATTCCATGTTATACTTTATTTTTGTCAATTTGGACTTTAATATGATTTTGCTACCTGCCTTTGTGATATATTAAACTAATTTTAAAAGGTATCTATGGCCAACAGCTGTTACTAACTGAACCCATATATTCACACCTAGTTCATAACCACTTAGATCAGGGATAGGAAACTCTTAGCACTACAGATGTTGTGGACTGCATCTCCCACAATGCTCGTATTGCCATAATGCTGGCAAAGCATCATGGGAGATGTCCAAAACATCTGTAGTGCCACAGTATCCATACAACGTGCTTTTCCCCACTCTCCACAGCCCCTATAATCATTCCACATTCTCCTAACATATTAAATGTGAAGCCTTGTAACAAGATCGTTTTGCATGTTAAACTAAAACAGAAATTATTTGGAATTCAACGTGAATTTCACATTTTACATCAACATTATCAAACTTCATGCTTGCTGTATACTTTGTGGGATGTTTTGATTAAACGTTTGAACACTTCTTTGATTTTTGAACACTTCACACTTTCTAAATAACTAGTGTTGCCCTCGATCTGGTCTGAATGCCATCCCACATACCATCAGCCTTATTTGGCTATTTGAACTCTGCCCTGTCCCCTATTTCAGTGTTGAGCACTGAGCATCATGGTAAACGTTTTATATTGGGTAAACGTAGTTTGCAAACATTTGTTTCAATCACTTCTACACATGGCCCCTCCATAAGGAGAATGAGATAATGTGGAGACAAAAGTATTTCTCACTCTTCATTAAATACCTTTTGTAACCAGTGACCACAGCTGCTTAGGTGAGACTAATTTGTATTCTATACAGCCTTAGAAAACATACATTTGTCAAGCTTGGTGTGCAGTTTTTATTTTCAATATTGGATTCTAAAAAAAAATACTTTCATGCTCAAGCTGGTAACAATAAAGTGGGATAGTGTTTTTCCTGGAAGTGGCAGTTCCATGTTCCAACACCCCAGTAAGCACAATTGTAGCATTTATGCATTTACCGCGGTGAACAAAGCTGTAAAACAAAATAGTGCTGCACTTTTGTGATGTGGGTGACTTTGTCGACCCATGATTCTTTGATCATATTTATGTACGCTTGGGCATTTACAAAAACTGTACCATATAAGAACATGCAAACTCAGGAATTCCTTAAGCGGTGCTGTATGTAAGCATTTGTACACGGCAGGGGTTACATTTACACACTGTGCCCTGTAGCAGGGTGTGGGGAGAACAAAACTAGTGAAACCACAACCATTAGATATCTTTCATTAAAAAACCCTTTTCACCTGCAACTGTGACATTTTAATCATTCCTTTCTGAATCCCAATGTGTATAAACGTTTTCATTGCAGACATTATCAGTATTATGTCCCATTATATTTTTGTATGATTTAATTGGCTTGCTCTGATAAAGTTGATGTATGTTTTTCAGTTATCGAGTGTTTTGCCTGCTCGGAGATGGTGAGTCCTCAGAGGGTTCCGTTTGGGAAGCCATGGCATTTGCTGGATTTTACAAGCTGGATAATCTGGTGGCCATCTTTGATGTTAACCGCCTCGGTCAAAGTGACCCAGCTCCTCTTCAGCACAAAGTGGACATCTACCAAAAACGCTGTGAGGCTTTCGGGTATGTTGATTAGTGTCCTTGAACTTTTAGCTGATCCCATTATGACCACCCATTTCCCCTCAGGATCCGAGGAATTTTCCTAATTATAATCTTAAGTAAATATGACTTTTATTTTTGAAAATCTTGCATTTCATTATTTCGATGATATATCTTTTTGATGGGTTTGATCCTGGGAAAGTAGTGATTACTCTATTTTAGTGACAGAGTTGCGTGCATTATGTATATATGAGAATAAACAGACAATATCGGTTAGTTTGTAACCACTAACAGCCAAACAACAACCAGAACCTGGTGGTAATGAAAGTGTTTACGTGTCTACCAAGGTAAGTTAGATAGCAAGCAAAACTTAATAGTTTTAAAAAATATAAACGGATACACTGGATTGGTAGGACATGGGATAGAGAAATGCTGTTATCTTGTACTTCTCACACTGTGTCGAAGCTCTTTGTATGCTTTCAGTACAGCCATGTTTGGTTTTTGGCCGTTATTAAAATATTTCTATCTCAATGCAGCAATTGCTCTGTCTCTCTCTTACCTTCTCTCCCTCCCTCCTGCTAAATTTAACACTAGATGGATGGCTAGATAGTAAATCTGTGTTGATCAGTTCTTTTAAAAAAAAATTTTTTTTAAATTGAACTGCACTGCTAACTTATATTTTGGGGCTTGTATGGTGTGGACTTTGCAGAGCAGTTTTCCTTTTTTAAAATAGTATACATTCTTACATCTCCTGGTGACTATTTTCATTTCAGATGGCACACAGTAGTTGTGGATGGCCACAGTGTGGAGGAACTGTGCAAAGCCTTTTCTCCAGTGAAGAATCAACCTACAGCCATCATTGCCAAGACATTCAAGGGCAAAGGGATTTCAGGTACAGAGAAAATGCTAATTAAACCTTGGTGACAGGTTCTTTAATTACATTTACACATGCATTGCTAACAATGTTTCTATAGATTACCAGAATGTTACATCGCAAGAGCATTTCTTGAGCAGTATGTTCCTGTTGCAAGATCAGCAATAAAAACCCCAACAATCCGCAAAACCTATTTGTACATTACATAGGTGTTTATTACTAAAAACGGAATCATAGTCAATTAAAAAACAAATTGTTGTGGACTATATCTCCCCTGATTCTTTGCCAGCATTATGGCTGTAAGTGCGTTATGGGAGATATGGTCCACAACATCAATGCCGAGGGTCTACTGCTTCCTCTTAAGGATAAGAAGATTTAGCCGACAAAATTCTTTCCTTCAAGGTCACATCTCAATAAGTTTATTTGCATGATCTCAATACTTTTTTTTTCTTCTTCTTCTATGTGCCACCATTGCCCAGCTTTTAAATACAGGTGGTGCTCACTTTATGACCGTCCTGTTATACGACCGCTCGCACTAACGACCAGCTCTCTAGCGTGGAAATTTGAGAACTGGTCTATTTTAGGAGAATATCTGGTATAATTCTTAAGCCAAGTGTTAGGGCTGAGCTAGGCTTGCTTTATTAATTTTTTCCCCCTTTTGTATAAAAATGATTAATAAACTTAAAAAATAACTCATTTGATTATTTATAAGAAGTATATATTATTTTACAGTGCTCTTTTTTATGGTAATAAAGTAGCATATACATTATAAGATACATGTGTTTTCCCTGTCTTCAATAAGTCAGCACAGAGCATACTATTAACACATTTTTCTCCAGTAATGAGAGAGCCATGTGTTGCCTAAAATGATTGAAGGAAAACCAGTGAAGATTTTCTCTATTGATTTATGTTAACCCAAGCTTATCGTGTAGAATCTATTAGGCAGCCCTCATTCACTGCCACTGTGATAATCTCTCAATGATGCATACACCATCTGCACTGGAAGATATAAACACAAGTTATATCTAAACGTTTATAACATTTGACCCATTATAGGTGCATTGTAAAAATAAATTTTGAACCTAGGACCAGTCAAACCTTTTTAAGCCCTGTGTTCTAACAGCTAAATGCTCAGTCCTTGTAGCTGCATTGCTGGTATTAATATAATTAGTAAAGTAGTGTTATGCACATATGCAAAGTAACACATTTGGTGCAGCAGAAAATATCACTATTTGGGGATCTTGTGCAATCAGTGACCGGTTTCTCGGAGGTTAATCGTATTAGAGAGTTTATGAAAAATAATGATACCTATTCTTACTGCAGGTGTGGAAGATAAGGAAAACTGGCATGGCAAACCCCTTCCTAAAGATTTGGCTGAACAGTCTATTAAAGAGATCGAGAGTAAAATCAGCAACAAGAAGAAGTTGTCACCTGCTTCCCCGGAGGAAGATGCCCCCGCTGTCAGCATCAAGAACATTAAAATGTCCTCACCACCCAGCTTCAAACTTGGAGAAAAGGTAAGTGAGAGCTCATCGAGTTCAAAAACATACACAATGGGACAGAACACAAAGTAAACTACACCCTTATAGTACATACAGAGAAAAAATATATACTTATGAACAGAATTGTTTGAGAATGTCCAAACAATAAAAAGTACAACACATAGTGCAGACTGCAAAAATATCCAAATATAAGGATAAGTAATGGTTGCACTCACAGATTGCAGAGCCGTACCAGGCTCTGTATGATACGCACAAGGGTGGCTAGATAGGCAAAAGGAATCTGTGAGCAGGTGGCCCATATTAGCAGAATATCAGGTCGGTTACTTAGCCCTAAAATTTTAAAATCTCTTTGAATCTACTTTAAATTTTGACTATTCACGCTTTAGTTAATAACACTTTAGAGTTTAGGAGACAGGTTCGAAATCTAACTTCTCAAAGAATTAGAATCTAATTAAGAATGAACGAAAGATATAACTGTTTTTTTCATTACACTAGCAATTGCTAATAGTTATGCTTTTGTATGATATATGCCAATTCTATAACTTATTAAACCAATTATTTGCAATGATTGTGTCCTTCGAGGGCACATGGAAATACAAAGTTACACAATATTAGACATTTTTGAGCATTTTCATTTTGAATACCTGCAATTGGAAAAAATAAATTGAAATAATATTTTTCTTTGCAGATTGCCACTCGCAAGGCATATGGTCTCGCCCTTGCCAAGCTGGGCAAGGCAAATAACAGAGTGATTGCTCTGGATGGCGATACCAAAAACTCTACATTTGCCGAGCTTTTCAAGAAGGAACACCCAGATCGTTACATTGAATGCTACATTGCTGAACAAAACATGGTAATTCAGTATTCTGCTTTTGTTTGACTTACAGGTTTTCTGGAAATAAATGTTATACATAAATAGACTTTGCCAAATGGTATTATTGGCATAATTAGTGCAGACTAGCCTTGCAGCACAGTGAAACGTCCCAGATGCTCAAAATGTTGGCAAGAATGTGCTATTTGTGGGTAAAATAGTTGAGCTCGAAAGATAATAGAGTTGTAGATTTTTTCCAATTTTTCCTTTGCCCTAAACTTGCAATTCCCAATTTAATTATCCAAAATTCACAGTTTCCAAACGTAAATCCAAACGTCTCAAAATATCTATTTTGTCTTGATATATTTTTATATCTAACCTTATATCTTTGCCATAGGTAAGTGTGGCTGTTGGCGCCACCACTCGGGATCGTACTGTGGCATTTGCCAGTGCATTTGCGACTTTCTTCAGTAGAGCATTTGATCAGATTCGTATGGCTGCCATTTCGGAAAGCAACATCAATCTTTGTGGTTCACACTGTGGAGTTTCCATTGGTGAGTGTCTAGTGTATAGTTTTGTCAGTGTTAAAACAAGCACGTTCATCAATGTTTCTTTTATGTAACGATGAATAAATAAGCCAGTCAATGCAGTTTTTTTGTGTTCTGTTACATTTAACCTGTGATTGATAAGTGAGATGCTATTACACAAACACTTTTCTTTGCTACGGCTAGTAAAATTTGGTGCTGGTATTTTTGTTTGTATGGTATTGGTAATGTTAAGACTGTTTCTCCCCTACTTATATTTAAAGGGACACTCTAAGCACTATACCAATTACAGCCTGTGGTGGTAATGTTGCTAGCAGACTACTGGTGCTGTCCTGAAGTTCTGTAGTAAACTATTTTTGAGTTGCACTTCATTATTAAAGGGTCACCATGTGCTTGAAGTTGTCATAGTGCCTCTGGCATTGTCATAGGGACAGTATTTACCAGCCTTCCCTTAGTCCAAACTCCCTTAAATAAAGCCTTTGTGTTATTTATTTTTGGCGGGGTGGAGCCCAGACCACCACAGAAAGGGTTACTCCAACCAAACCAGTCGTTTATCAAACTGTTTTTTTAAATGTGAACTTTTTTTATTTTTTTATTAATCCTTTAACATTGTCACCTGTGTCTAAAATTGGACACTATTGATTGTTTGAGAGCATCACCCCAAACCAGTCAATGCTACACAAGCTTGATAAATTGGAAAGGGTCAGCTTCCACTAAAGCAGGGCAGTGAATAAAACCCTTGGTTTGTTCAAAGAGCTCGAAAGCAGAACTGGGAGATGGCACCAGTTGCTTGTTAGCATCATAACCACCATTGAAGTGTCCCTTTAAAATAGTAGGCTGATAGGCATAGGCAGAGTGGCAGCATACTATATTCTTGGGTAATGTGCTCTCTTTTCATATAATGCAGTTAAGGGGCCCTGGCTAGACAGGTGGTTGAATCTATATTCATTAGCAACAGAGATATTAATGCTCATGGTATGTACCAGGGGCAAACAAAACTAGATCCCTGACCAGTTATAACCAGGGCCGGACTGGGAATTAAAAGCAGCCCTGGAAAAAAAATATTTACCAGCCCCATAATGCATCGTGCCAGCACAGCGTGCAGATACAGAGTTAGAACAGATAACTTAAAATTAAAAATTATTACTCCAACGTAAAAAAAAAGCACATATAGGCTTTAAAAAAAACAAAAGTGCAGATTTATTTTAAGCAGACGTGCCTTTGCATGTAATCAATGTTTCAGTCCAACTACCATGACATATTAAGGAAAGCTTGGTAATGGAACTGAAATGGTGAATGTATGTAGAGCACAACTGTAAAAAATGACGTTATCTTGTTTATTCCTGTCGGTGCGCTCCTCACTTTAAATATGTTATTGTGTTAGAGTATGCACCTAGCAACAAGACTGGGCCAATATCTGCTCATTACATATGGTACATATTAATAACATTTATCTGTGTATTATGCATATATAAATGTTCATTAATAAATGTGTAAATATAATAGGCATAATTATACACATATATATATAACTAATACACACATTAATATACATGTCATATACCAGTGGTGTATCCAGAGCCTGATCCCGGGAGGGGCACTTGTAGATTATTTAAAGAAAAAATCCATGCACAATAACAACTACTGCTCTGTGTAGTGGTTATGGTGCAAGGAGTGCCGGGAACCCCTCCCAGAGTAAGTAGTCAAACCGTTTAAGAACAGTTTGACAACTTACCTGGGGTCTGCTGGGATATGGGGCTGTAGTAGGGTGAAGGGTGTAGTGTGTGTGAAAGGTTCAGTGTATGTGTGGGTGGGGGTGTAGTGTGTGAATGTGTAGGGTGTGTGGGGCAATGTGTGTATGGGGGGGCTGTGTGTGTGTGTGTGTGTGTGCGCAGCAATGTGTGTATGGGGGGCTGTGTATGTGTGTGTGTGGCAATGTGTGCATGGGGGCAGTGTGTAAATAAGTGTTTGTGTGGGGGCAGTGTGTGTGTGTATGGGGCAATGTGTATGGTGTGTGTATGGGGCTAGAGTTCACTCTCACCACTGCGACCACCAGGAATCCCTGGTGGTCGCAGTGGTGAGAGTGAACTCTAGCCCGTAGCTCCAGGGCTAGAGTTCACTCTCGTGAGAGCTGGAATGTTGCCGTGGTAATCGCGCGAGAAGGACGCAGAGGAGCTGCAGGCTGAGCTTCCGGGTCCTCTCTTCCTCCCTCCCCTGCCTGCTGCCCGCACGGTGCCTGTGGAATGGGGAGGGAGATCGGCTGGCAGGGGAGAGCCTCTTGGGGGGGGGGGAGGGGGAATTGCCCTGTGGCCCCCCCCAGATCCACCAGTGATATATACAGCCCCTATGTGTGTCTCTTTATCTCCAGCCCCTCTGTGTGCTTTTTTACAGTCACTCTGTTTGTTTCTTTCTCCCCCTCACTGCTCCTCTGTGTCCATGTCTCCCCTCTCCTTCCCAGTCTCTCTCTTCCCCCTCTGCCTCTTTCTCCCCCACCCCTTGTGTCTCTCTCTCCTTTCTCCCTCTGTCTCTTGCTTCCCCTCTGTCTCTTTCTCCCCCCTTTCCCTGTGTCTCTCCTTGCTTCACATCTCTCTTCCCCTCTGTCTCTTTCTCCTCCCTCCACCATCTCTCTATTCCCCCTCTTTCTCCCCCTGTGTCTCACTCTTCCTCCTCTGCCTCTTTCTCCCTCTTTTCCCTGTGTCTATTCCCCCTCTGTTTTATTTTGCCCCTTCCCTTGTGTCTCTTTATTCCCTGTCTTTATTCCCATTTACCTGAGAGAAGTCAGGAGGGCCAGCCGCGTTCCACGCTGGAGCCGCCGGGCAGGGTGGCAGCCTCGCCGGTCCAGCGGCACTCCTGTCACTGATGCTGAGGGCTGAAGGAGGGAGGAGCATGTCTATCTACCATGCTCCCTCGCGGTTCCTACAATTCCCAGCACAGCATACTGATGCTCCTCCCTCCTCCTCCTGTCCTCAGCATTAGTTACAGGAGTGCCGCCGGACCGGCGAGGCTGCCACCCGGCCTGGCGGCTCCAGCGTGGAACGCGGCCACAGGACGCCCCCCGCAGAGTGTGCCACTGGACCGGCTATCTGGTGGCACATACATGTGCAGCGCTGCCCCCAGATGCCGCGGCCCACCGGGAAATTTCACGGTATCCCGGTGGGCCAGTCTGGCCCTGGCTATAACACTACAAATGTATTATGTTTGTATGTCCAGGCTTAACATAGTTTAACATGAGCTGGAGATCAGTTGTGGTATACACGAACTTGTCTTGATATTATTTGTTTTAATTATTTTTTGGAGGCCAATGTGGTGTTGGTGAAATGACAAACCACACTCTTTCTGAAGAATGCCTTCTACTTAGGAAACTATCAGTCTGTTTTGTAACTTGTAATAGTCTTGGTTTCCTAATTCCTAACTTTACGTTTAAGGAAGTTTTGTTGCCACACAAGACCAACATGTTTGTTAAATATTTTTTCTCCCTTTAAATTCTCTCTTAGTGGTGAAATTGTTTATTTACACAGCTCCGTATATGTAGTAAGATCCCTGACACTTCCTCTTCAGAGTTCTAATGAAGATCATCCCTCCTTATGCTTCGGTACCCTAAAAACACTTGTCACCTAGCATTCTTTCCTCTATGAAAATGGCTTGAATTACATCGCATCACCCCTGATATCTGCCTTTGGCAGAAATACAAAATATACCAACTGTAGATCACGTAGTGCCAGTGGGGTTTAATATTGGCACTGCAGATATTTGAAATCACCAATTGTAAAACTGCATTATACATGTTACACACATTTTCATAAAACAGATATACAATACACTTTACTTATACAATCTAATAGCAGAATTGGAAACAAATTTATAGCAATTTAAATAAATCTATGGAAAGATATGGTCCTTTCTGCAGCTGTCAATCGATTCTCAGTATAGAGGGTTATTCTAAACAAATTAGATCTGTCGATAACTGAGTGACATGGTAGAGCAGGAGAACCCTCTTTCAGATGTTCTCCTGTTTTCAAACACAATAACTACAGTAAGTGCTGTAGTTGCTATGATATTGCTGTGTTGGAATGGAGCGACAGACCTCTGTTCAGACACTGAAACACTGGCAATGAAGCCAACTATTGCCTTGCTTGAGCAAGTTCTCCCCAGCAGGGCCAAAAGCACATTAGGAGGGCAGGAGTTTGAAGCTGGATGTTAATCTGAGACCATGGATTAGGAGCCACTAGAACATTAAGTGAATCTGTCATTGCAGGTTCTTAAGTAGTGTACGTCTCAAATAGCTGCAGTGGCAAGGTTAGCAATCACCTGTTCTTGGTGGATTATAATAGCTCTTCCTTATGAAATACCTGGCAACTATAGAAATCTAAACGGTAAAATATGGACATTGTATTTTCTACAAACATCATATTGTATCGTTCGATAAATCTTTATAGTTTGCATGTTAGTCAGTGACACAAGCTATCTGTTTCTCTATGTACTGCGCTACATTAGCCCAGTCTTAACAAATATCCTTCATATGCTTTGTTGATATTATGAAGGGTCACTAACTAATCAAATGGCTGGTGTCTACGTTCATGTTATGTGATTCAAATTTACCATTATATCTCTCTATCATGCTTGGCAATAAGATTCTTGTTTCTTATTGGTCGCAGTAATGTAGGCAACCGTGTGTGTCCACCGTGCCCAGAAAAGGCAAATGTTGGTGCAGGTGTTCTACCACCTTGAGACACAAATGTAAATTATTAGAATCAGGAGTACACCGTTGATGACACTCAGACAATTTTAAACTTACATTAAACATTAAGCACATTATATCATAACTCCGGTCATACAAGGCAAAGCCATGCCAAACACTGCCCATAATGAGGAAAAATACAAACATAGGTCTCTCTTTAATATTTTTGCATAGGCTTTTCAAATGATTTATCTACAAAACTTCCTATAGACACTCATGGGGACTTCTGTAGGAAGATCATTTGAAAAGCTTCCCCACACGGATTACATTAAAGCCATAGTTTCATTTCTCTTTGTGTACTGTTTCTGTGCGGACTGTCAGGTGCAAAGGACAGAGGTTAGAACAATGATTGACAAGCCGCTAAGACGTAGGTATCCTGTTGCAAAAAAAAAAAAAGTCGTATGGATTTCTAAATTTTTTACGCTTTTATTATTGTGGTTTGATGGGAAATAATAAGCATAGAAGTCACAAATACGACCTATCAATTCATCAAGACATATGATAGTGACTGTATAACTTACATGTCATTTCTGTTTTAAGAGCGGAAACATACAACATACAACATAAAAGATAACATTTTAAAGTATATTTCTACATTAAATTCTATTTTGCACACATCACAACTCTGTCTCGGTTATATAGTGGAATAAGTGAACATAATTAAAATCCTGGTGTCAGTTCATTTTTAAATAAGACCGTAAGACACACGGTTAGTCTTCTGACTTATCCAATAGGTTTGTCTTTTGAGCAGTTAAATAATTACCGATTAAGCCTCACTGCAGACTTTTTTTGACCCAAATCTATTGGCTGTTTCAGTACTTCTGCTTTGTGATTTCCCCTTATCTTTTAGCTTTCTCCTATTTCTCTTCACTTCCTGTATCTAAACCTGAGAAGATTGGGGATGCCAGGTACATCCGTGTGCCTTACTTTGACATTTGAATTTGTGAAAAGATTTCTGATTTAACATGTGTTTTTCTAACTAACCTGCTAAATTAATTTCTGTGCCTGCTTGTTCCGTTGAATCTAGTGAGCCAGGAAGGCAACTGATAAGGATATTGCTTAGAAATGTATCTTGACTTGTTTACTGGTATTTATCCAGTAATGCAGTCTCAGGGTTGTAGGAGTTTGAGTCCGCTCTGACTAACTCATATTGCTTAAATTTATCACATAAAACGGTTTATTCATTTACCTCTGTTCTTCATCTCCCTGTACTTGATGCAAATTTTATATGCATAGTCTGTGTAAATCATAGGTCTTAAACATTAAAGTTGTTACTCCAAACATCATAACAAGTACAGCCCAATGGAGTAGCTATGATGTGAGGGGAACCCATGTCTGTTTCCCAGTAATGGGGCGAACTGTGTTTCACCGGTTTGCCTTCGTATCTGGATTTCCAACGGACCTTCTTGTAATGTCCATCTGGCTTCTGTAATAGCAGACCACTCTCAACCAATGAATGCAATTCTGGGCATAGGAATATGTATTTAATTGACAGGGTTAAACTCTGTATGTACTGCATTTGAAAGTGTGACGATGCATATACAGAGTGTGACGGACCGCCTAACACCCCGACTGGGTACCTCCATCAATCGCTGCTGCCAGTAATCCTTGAGTACCATAAGCACTTCACCGGACACCATAACCACCGTAAACCCCACAAACCGCCGCAGCTTGGTTGGGGTTTTGCTGTCCTCCACCCACCCTTGACCCAAGACCAGGATCCAGCTTCCAATGGGTAGACCTCTCCTAGTCCGGAGAGCGAAGCAGGCTGCTCTTACAAGAGCAATTGTTGTGATCCAAGGAAGTATAGTGATTATAGCAATCCCCAGAGTGAATATAGCTCTCCAATCCTCCAAACATGAGCCTAGACTTCATGAAGGATAAAACGAATCTGTTTAATTGCAGCCACAACTGGCCTTATATGCATGTCCCCATGAAAGGGGCACTCACCCCTGGACTGAGAGTAGAGTTCAATAAAAACATACACACGAATACATTGGCTCTCAGGTCCAGGACACTCCCATACAAAATAGGTCAATCCCTCCCCTGTGCCTGGGAGATAATTGAGTCAAGCACTGGATAAAACTCAATTATCTCCAGGCACAACAAACACACATTTCCAAAACTCCCCAAAAGTACCTTAAAATATATTTAAAAAACCCCACAAATGTCCCCTGATAGCCCTGATCTGGGTGAACAACATATCCAAAAATCACCCAGATCGGTTCTGGGGTTCAGGATTTTCCTATAAGTCATAATTTGACTGACCTCACGCATGGTCCCATGCTGAAAATAGTTCCATAGAATCGCGGCTCAGTGCTGCTGGGGACCGCCTTGGAACCGCAAAGTCTTCCATGCCGAAAATAGTTCCAGGGCATTCGTGGCTAAGTCCCCCTGAAGTCTGTTTGTGGTTTTGGCCCATGCGAATGGCCACCAGGGAGCTAGCGTTCAGTTCTATGCACATGAATGGAAAGTGCCGAACCAGGGGGAATAACATATGGGTCTTTAGTCGCTGACCTGGCCCATAGTCGGTGGGCAAGAGGCTGGCCAGCAGGCCCCTCCAAGAACACGTGACGAGGCTCAGTTCGTCACACAGAGTTTAGGTACCATGACCACAACAAACCACTGCAGTGATCATGGTGCTTGGAGATGTAGAAGAATTTTCAGCATAAACAAACAGTTATTCACAAAGCACCAAATCTTAGAGAAGTAACGCAGACTGGAAAATTGAGGTACAAATAGTTGATCTTTTTCAAATTTTCCAACTCAACTACAGTCACAGATTGGCCAATGTAGCCTCATTTTTCAATTCAGATTTAGGCCTTAATCTAATATTTTTTGATAAGCTTTTAAAATAATTTGTCTACAGAAGCCATTAAAGTGGACTTAAATATAAACTTACCTGAAATTGCTCCCATGCACATTAAATACATTATATATCACAAAGATACAAGGTGTATTCAGTGTAAAAGAGATTCATTCACATCTCCTCCTTTCCTGCACTGCCATCTTCGAGGGTGATACTCTTCATGTAACATCTACCTCTGGGCCATCCTCCACTCCTACTCTGGTCCACTGTTTTCATTGATTTGACCACCTCCTCAGTGACGCCACCTCACTCTGTTCCTATCCATCTAAAAGCGCTGGCTAAGGAGTTTCCATAGCCACTGTGGTTGCTATGGTTAGGAGATCAGAAGGACTGCCTGTTCGAGAAAAGCCTATTTTAAAAAAACTGCTGTATAGACAGAATTGTATGCTCAGTCTAACAAGCATTCGTTGTTTGGCATGGCAGATGCCCTTAAAGTCTATGGGAAGTTTTGTAGATAAATCATTTGAACACTGTATGTAACAATATTAAATCAGTTGAAAAGTATATCCAATAATATTAAATCAAGGCCTTTGCTAAAATTCTTTTTTTTTTTTATGAATTATCATGCATGTGTTATTCTTTGGTGCATATTTTAAGGCATGGTTTTTGGTTTCTATTCAGATATAACGGTTTCATGAATGGGTTTAAGAATTTTAACTTAAAGTGAAATCCACCTCTTTGCAGATGTTGTTTTTTTACCCCATTGTCATTTGTTTCAGGGGAGGATGGGGCATCTCAAATGGGTTTGGAAGATATCGCCATGTTCCGAACTATTCCCACTGCAACAGTATTTTACCCAAGTGATGCGGTTTCTACAGAAAAAGCTGTAGAACTGGCTGCAAACACAAAGGTAAATCCTTCCGATCAGTAACACCCAGAGTTTAAAATGGTACAAAACTGCAGTTTAATTGAGCATTGTCATTATTTGTGGTTAATTGTATGACACTGCACGTAGTCTTAGAAACATTAGAGGTTCTTTAGAAATAGCAATGTGTTTCCAAGTGTTGCAATCACCAGGAACATTCCACTGTTCTATGAGAACAGTAATCAAACCCTCATATCATCACAGAGACATTTTCCCAAATATTATAAACCATCCTACGGGTTGATCCCAACAGATGAATGTGTAGGAATGCCGAATCAGTGTGAATGGTACATCCTTATGGAATAATGTTTGATGTTCACACAAACTATTCCAAACAACAAATAGTAAATCATACTGAGATTTAATGGGTTAGACTAGCCCCGATAGTTTTATAATTTAAATAAATATATATATTTTTCTTGTTTGTGAAACAGGGAATATGCTTTATAAGGACAAGTCGCCCTGAAAATGCAGTTATTTACAGCAGCAATGAGGAATTCAAAGTAGGACAAGCTAAGGTTAGTATGATGGTTATGTGGGCACCGCAGGACTTCTGAAGGTAAAGGGGTTTCTGTGCCTTTGAATTTTTTTTTTTTTTTTTTCATGTAGAGAAATTTACAACAAAATTTATTTATTTGGGGGGAAAAGGTACAAAATTGAGTAATTTTGTCTCATTGTATTTGTTACTCTCCTGCGTTAGGTGGTTGCACACAGCAAGGATGATAAAGTAACGGTTATTGGTGCTGCTGTTACGCTTCACGAGGCCTTGGCTGCAGCTGAGCAACTTAAAAAAGGTAAAATAATGTTTCAAAAACAATCTTAAGGGGGTTATGTATGAAAGGTTTTTGTAATTTAAAAAGAGGTCTAAAATACTAGAAGTGGTGCAGTCACCACAAAATCCAGTGGAACCAGCAGATATTGAATTGGCAGCTATGCCACTTTTCGATATATGGAACAACAATGTTCAGATCCCTTTTTATACATATTTACGCAAGTTTGTTATATTGATGTGTGCGTGTTAAGTGTGAAAACGTAGTACTGTGGTTTGCTACACGTGCTCATATTCTGGGGTTTCTCCAAGCCTTTTTTTCTTCTTATCTTAAGAACACAACAAGCATATGCTCTGATTAGTCTACATTTTCTTTTAGGATGGGTGACTCACTTGACTTTATTACTTATTGTTCATAAAGGGCCAACATAAGTACATTTAATATTTATATATTTTTCTCAGTTGTAAATTTAAGGAAACAAATGCTGTTTATACATTCTAAGAATTGTATTCATAAAACTGCAAATTACAGTAAATGGAAATCCATATGAAGGCTAAAATAGTCAAGCTGTGACCGAAGCAGAGTTGGAAAATTTTCCCGATCAGTTATTTTTGCCAACATTTTCCAATTAAGATTGTATTTCACTACAGTCTGGTCTTTAATGAATATACCTCTAAATATCTCTTGCATTCTATTCCCACAGAAAATATTCATATCCGAATCATTGATCTATTCACCATCAAACCACTGGACAGAAAGACTATCCTTGAGAACGCCAAGGCAACCAAGGGACGGATCATTACTGTGGAGGATCACTACCATGAGGGTGAGTGGAGGTTAATGCAGGCGCCCAGCGGGAAGTTACGTTAGGAAGGTGCCAGGATACTCCCAGCACCATAACCACCATAGTGGCTGCAGTGATTATGGTGCTCGGTGTGTTCTTTTATGCTATTATAGAAGGGCCTGACTATAGGTCCCCCCACCTATGCCTGGCAGGTTTCAACTGCCCTCCAGTGAATGTCTGCTTAGTGGTGGGATGGAAGATATCTTGTCCCCCTTATCGCCCATCCAAGCTTGTAAGTTAGCCACAGCTATTAATCGGTTAATATTCCATCTTCGATAAAATAGGAACCTACCAGTAGTACCCCTCCCACAGACATTGAACAGACAGCGCCTACTCAACTGTTATTAACCCTTCACATTAACATGAAGATAATTAATAATTTTATGCGGGAAGGACTTGACTGTCATGCTTCCTCTACTACTACCTTACCCAAGACAAGTAATTAGAGTTTAAACAACTAATGAGTGGGCATCTGCCTACCTTTTTAGTCTGGGTAGCATTGGGATTATTATGATTTGTGGCATGATATTTACTGTTCCCTGAAACTGATACATTTGTGCTTATTAGAAGTGTTTTGAATTGTTGCCGAAGCATTTTTTTTCTACTATAGGTTGCATCTAACCATTCCTGGTTTTAATATAAAATTTATTTTATATTTATTTTGTGTATGATTAATTGGAGCGCATATACTTACTTTGTTGAGCATTAGGAGGGGTTAAGTATATATTAAAAAAAAAAAAGAATTGTGCTCTTTGATCTCTCTGTAACCCTCCACCCATGCTTAGTGGGTGAGGGGTTAATGATATTTGGGCAATATTAGTGAATTGAAAACCAGCTTTGGTAATATTAAGCTAAAATGCTACAGTTAGGAATATCTTGGCCTAAATATTAAAATGAGCTTTTAAATCCATAGTTTAATGAGCAGTGGTTTGCAGTAAGAGTAGAGTTTTCAGGTTAACCGTCCCATAATCTTATTACCCAGAGCTGTGGTAGTGGAAGATGTAAACATTTTATGAAGGGATTAATGGTTATGTGGTTTTCTTTCTCTATATCCAGGAGGGATTGGAGAAGCAGTAGCGGCTGCAGTGATCGGTGAGCCGGGTATCACAGTCAAATCCCTGGCAGTGTCTCACGTGCCCCGCAGTGGTAAACCTGCTGAGTTACTCAAGATGTTTGGCATTGACAAGGATGCCATTGTGGAGGCAGTCAGAGCCGCCATATCCCAGACAACCAACTCTGTTTAGACCCCAGCGGCTTTCCACAGACAGAGGAGGGCCTTTTACTGTAACCATATAATCACCTTTTTATTTCAATAAAAAACAGATTCAGTTCCACTCTTTGCCTCCATTTTTAAGTTATGTTTCTTTTGAACATAATATAAGTTCAATAAACTGCAAGTTTGGTGTTAATACTGGGAACAATCTTTATTACATTGGTAGAAAAATACATTATAGTTAACATTTTATTTTACCTAACAGATCTACAACTTTAAAGCAGTTCACGTTATATTTAATACGCTCAGATTTAGTGTGGATGTATACTTGAACGCACAATGTGCAGTATATTGCATTTCAAGTAGGACAGAAGGAATGTGACATCTTATTATATGATTAGTAGGTTAACAGCATCTTGGGTTGGCAGGAGTATATACTATTGGTTAATAAGGCTGGGTAAAAAGTTTATTTGATAAGTGGGAACTTTCTGCCTAAATGGCAACCAATGAACACTGACAATTAAAGAATTGGACCAGGGGTGAGCAATATTTGGTCAGTTTGTGCAATTGGATTGAATAGTACAACAGATAAACCATATAGACATATATTTAAACATATTTTTGAGCAAAGGTCTGTTCAAAGTGGCACATTGATAAAGTTCTAGGTCAGGCGGCCTGCTGTGGATGTGAAACCGTTCTGGCTGGTAAAAGGTTAAGGCATACAATGCTGTTTGTTGCCTTTCTGTGCAAATTCTTCACATTTACAGATTTTCTGCTTATGTCTTATACTACGAACTCCTGAATTGAAATTCTTTGCTATTTCCGTTTTGGCCAAGATGGTAAACCTGCTAAATTTAAAAAAACAAAATGACAACACAATACAAACCTTTTCTCCAGTCAGGGACTGATTGATGTTTGTTCAACACATTGGCTCATTTTACTGGAATTGGATCATTTTGCACCACAGTTATATAGAGGCAGATACTTTTCACTGTCTGCTTACAGGAACAGTCCAAGCACCATAAAACCTATAGCCTGCTGGAGTGGTTATGGTGGCAGGAGTGCACAGTTTGACAATTTACCTATGGCCCACCCGCAGCTTCATCTGACACATCCAGTCTTCTCCAGTATGAAATTCCAGATTGGAAGCTGTACCATGCTCATGATCTGTGTCAGCTGAGCGCTCACAGATAATTAGAGCGGTCCTCTCTCAGCCATGCTTTATTTTACAGACATATTGCTTCTCCTGCAGACCAAAGGACCAAATGCAGCGGGATATGGCAGTGGGTGCCTGGTGGACCATGATAACACGTAAAATTTCACCAAAACAGTTTAATATGTCACTGTGGGATAGCACTAGGGCACTCCTGGCTCCATAACCACTACAGTAGCGCTAGGACTGTTCATTTAAAAACACATTCTCTAAAGCAGAAACTGTGCATGATTCCCTAGATAGAAAATTACAGATTTTAGGACAAAACAGCTGAGCCAAAGGATCATTCTCTCTCTCTCTCTCAACCCCCCCTCCACGCTAAAATAAAACACTCATTCTACTGATAAGGTTAAAAAAACATTATGGTGTATTGACATTAATCAGAAACAAGGTTTTTAACAGGGTGGTTACAGAGAAAATCTTTCCTTCAAAAAGTTTGTCAATGCTTTTTGGTTCTCACAATAAATAAATAAATTAGGAGTTCTGCCCAAACTTACCAGGCAGTTTGACAGTTTGGAGGTAATCGAGGATTCTACGGATTTGTTCAACTAAAAACAAACAAACAAAAAAAGTAATATATTACAATGTTCAAAATTCTGGTCATTAGCCATTTGCAATGTGTTGGGCACATCTGATAACCCAAGACTTTGTTGGGGTCTTGAACATGAAATCATTTTCCTACAGATTCAGACTTTATTACTGAACTTACAATCAAGGTGATGCATTTAGATCAACTTGTCTGGTTTTCAACCTGTATATTTTGATAAGCAAACAAAACAAAATCTGGAGATATTCAAGGTCAAACTTCATAATATTTGACCTTTAAATGTCTGAGCTCTAAAATTTGGTAAACTGCTGCCGAACAACAAATGGCTTACACAATAAAAACAACTGTAGTCATTAACTCTACTGTTCCCATGTTTCTCCCAATGACAAATATTACACAACAAATTCTGCAACATCACAATAGGCAGGACCTTTATCATTCAATCCACCAGAAAATTGATGAAGAGGAGCATTCCCAAGAAAGGTTTAATAATCAATAGAAAACACAAGGAGGGGTTTAGCTTAAAATGGATACTGGTGAAATGAAGATGGCGGCTCAACAACCCAATCCAGGGACTCTCTTTTCTGATATAATCAGAGATGCTAATAGGGAGATGGGGGAGTAGTGCCTGGAAGTGCCCTCAGATGGTATATGGAACAAGGAGACTGGAATAGTGGGATCATACCATTTAACACTATTTAAAGAGTCGTTAAGGAAGTTGCATAACATGTGAGTGCAATTCTATTCACTTATATATTTGTCCCATGCTATTTTGATCATCTACACTATATAGTAAGAGAAAATAAATAACGAGTCAAATATTTGAGGGAACACTTATTGATGGGGGGGATGGGAGGGGTTGGACCCCTAAAGACTTAACAAAGCTGAAACCTAATCATGAAGTGTGTCCCAGTATGGAACTAGTCGATAACTGTTGATTGATACAAATATTAAGGTAGTATAGATAGTTTACCAGGTAAATATTCGTAAGAAAAAAAAAGATAAAATTAAAAACCAAAAAAGCTTTAATTAATGTACATGAAATGACAAATCTAACTTGAACAAATATAACTTGAGTTGCTCAAAGAAAAAACTGTTCTGGAGTCCCTATAGGGCTGACTGCTTAAAATGTCAATACTATATAGTCACGTCTATATGAACAAAAATATTGTTGATGCACAGATTATTGTCCGAAGGGTTCATAGTACAGTCTTTGAAAACATTTAGTAGTACTGTTTGGTTTATAATGTCAAAGGAGCGTCGTTTTTAAAACTCAATATACAGTGCAGGTCAGCAGCATAGTATCTAAATTTGTTGTAGCATTTACATTAATTAAAGCTTTTTTGGTTTTTAATTTTATCATTTTTTCTTACGAATATTTACCTGGTAAGCAATCTCTATTACCTTAATATTTGTATCAATCAACAGTTATCAACTAGTTCCATACTGGGACACACTTCACGATTAAAGGACCACTATAGTGCCAGGAAAACAAACTAGTTTTCCTGGCACTATATAGTCATTTGTTCCCCCCTCTTGCTGGGCTGAAGGGGTTAAAACCCCTTAAGCCACTTACCTTAATCCAGCGCAGGGCTCCCTCTGCGCTGGTGACCTCTTCTCCCACTCCGACGTCCGCTCCCGAGTGGAGCTGAATGCGCGGCCAGAGCTGCGCGCGCATTCAAACTGCCCATAGAAAAGCATTACTTACTTTTCTATGGATGTTCTGCGTGCTCAATGCAATGTCAGAAAGACAGCCACTAGAAGCTGGATTAACCCTGCAATGTAAACATAGCAGTTTCTCTGAGCTGCAGGGTTAAAACCTGGGGGATCTGGCACCCAGACCACTTCATTAAGCTGAAGTGGTCTGGGTGACTATAGTGGTCCTTTAAGTTTTACTACACTATATAGTGTTTTATTCTGTTTTTATTTCATACATTGGACCAAGAGGTATACTAGATATCCTCAAGCGCATCAAATTAAAGCTATCCTACAGCTGACCTGGTAAGTGCATTTTTTTTTCATTTTCTTTTTTTTTTTTTTAAATACCATATTCAATTCAATTACTCAGCTACACTATATTGACCCATATACCATCGGAGGACACATCAGAGCTCTACTCCCAACTCTGTACAAGCATCTCATAATAAATGTTTAAAGGGACACTCCAGACCCATAAAGCACTCCTGCTTTATTTTTCATTTTACAAAAGTGCAGATTTAAATAGAAATTGGCACTTTTATAAATCTACCGTCTTACACCCCCATGGCTGTTAATTGACAACCGGGCTGTTACTTCCTGGTAGTTTCTCATATTTAGGGTAGCTTAGCATTTAAAATCAATAAATAAAGTAAAACAAAAAAAAACAACAAAACTCCTTACTTAAACCAAAATAGATTGCGATGGTCTCTATCGTTGCAAAGCAAATAAGACCAATGCCTGCCGATATTGTCCAATCTGGAAAACAAAAAGCCAACAGTCACACGTGTTGTAGATTGATCTCTCTCTCAAACAACATGATGGCACAGAATGGAATCCATTGAGGGAACACTAAGTAAATGTATTTACCTGCGTAGCTATAAGAACAGATGAGGGTTGCTCCAATTGAAAAGCAGATAACGATAAAATGGAAGAACTCATCTAGGGAAAAAACATTTTTGAAAAAGTTAACAAAATTCTGTAAATTTCAGGGATGGAATTAACTACACAATGAAGGTTGGTGAAATTTAAACCGATATGATTTTTAACAAATATAAGAACAGAAAATAGACAACAGAATGTGACAATCAACACAAATCATTAACATGTAATAGTACAAAGAAGTCAACTCTTTGAGCAATGTCACAACTCGAAGACACGGTGGGCACAGTTGGCAAATCTGCAATATTGCAGTGCATAGGAACATTACATACAGGCTTGAGGTGCCCCAACAGCATTCCTCAATGCTCATCATCATGTGTGACAATTGGGGTACTTGTAGAGAAATGCACAATTTTTTTAATAGGCAGAATTACACGGTAGCTATGTCAATTAATGCTAGAGAGGGTAGTTAACTTTAAGATAGTAACTTTGCTAGAACAGAGGTTAGTGTGCCACTGGCTGGTGCTTTGGGAGGCGTATTAAGTTACCAAGCAGGCAGCAGTGTTGAAAAACGCGATTGCATAGTGTGCTCAGTTTCAGGAGTGTTGTCTGAGTTAAGTGGTAGGTTGTGCAGTGCTTTGCAATCCCCCTAGTCAGGGTGCGTGGGGTTTAGCGCACAAGGAAGACGGTATGACAAACTTGCAGGAGGGTGCCCTAGTATTAACTGCAATTGGTCCGCAAACGCTGATTCTCTAAAATACCAAGATTTGCCAAAATGGAAGGCCTCTCACAGCGCTGCCTAAGATGGGGCATCTAGCTAAAACGGGTAGTACCCTAAGCAGCCCCACACATACACACCAAACACACATTGTGACATGTTACACAAGCAAACCCCATACTCAGCCCACTTTCACAGGGATCATATACAATACCACAAACTACTCATGAACGTATACTTTACAATATAACAGCTCACACATGCACAAGTACAATGCTACAAAGCAACTGCAGCACCCAAATAACACAAAGTACGGCAACATATTACACACATCAATTTTAAAACAGAGGATCGGCACGCCAAGAGACTTAAAAATCTAATTTGGCACAGTACTACTGAAAGGTTGCCTATCCCTAGTTAAGAGTAAACCTTTGTTTGTAGACAAACAAAGCGGGTACCTTTGTGCTTTTTGATTACATCACCGTTGCAGATAGCCAAGCCGGTGATGCTAATTAATGCAAGGTTTGTAATTAGCACATTATATTCTATACGGACATTGCAAGGTGTGTGTTTCTTTATAGTGTTATAAACTGACATTACATGTATTGTGCTCATATATAGTTCATAAGTTATTGATTTTAATAGATTATATATCTATTTATTTTTTGTGATTTACATGTTTCATTGAAGGTTTGTATAAGAATACAGAAGACAAATATAGAGTCAGGGTATCAGGTGGATGCCAAGAGAACAGAATAGTTACAGTGCTTGTCTTTTAATTGATTGAATTGATCAACAACTAACAAGTCCTTAACATTGCTTGTACTCGTCATCAAGTCATGGAAGGGGTTTGAAGTGTTTGTTCTACTCATGCACAAATACTTTGAGATACGGGTTAATTGTTACAAAAGTGTTTTCATGGCAAATTATTTTAGGTGTTAGATTTGCTAAATGTGGCCCCTTAATATGTCAGTTACTCTAATGTGGAAGGAATGTAATAACTGAATCTTGAGTGCTTAAAGTAAGGTATAGGGAATGTTCCCCCTGCTTAAGTATAGTAAATATCTCATGGCAGTCATTAACATGTTGATAAATATAGGATTTTAGATTGTAATAACTACCTGTGGAACTATAATTTAACATAATTGATTAATTACAATGTGTTACTTTTTGTCTTAAAGGAACACTACAGAGTCAGGAACACAAACATTTATTCCTGACCCTATAGGGTTAAAATTGCCATGTACCCCCTTGCCCTCAACCCCTCCTCTCCTCCCCCCCCCCTTAATATAGTGAAATCTTACAATAGCCAACCAATAGGCTCTGCACCTGATCTGCCCCCTTGGCTGACAACATCAGGAGCGATGCTCTCAGCCA